TGCGCCTGCAGCTAGTATCATTTCGTTATACATTTCCTCCATGGACCGCATTTGTGTGCGCATTGCCTCCATTTCTCTCTGGAGTGCGTCAAAGTTCTCACTTGTTGGAGCTGGGGCTTGACCCCGGGTGCCCTTCTTAGAGGTCCCACCTCGGCCATGGGTGGCCTTGGATGTCCTCTGGTGCGCAGGCGGTAGAACAGGCGCGGTGATTCGTGCCGATCTGCGGAGGGGTTCTGTTGCTAGGCCGTCGTGACCTTGCCCCTTTACCGCTGCTGCTCCGACCTCCCTCTGGTGGGCATCGCTGGCAGCTAGGGTCCTTCGGTCTGCCGTATTGGTCGAGTTTGCGGGTTGAACCATTTTCGCTCGCGTATTGGTTTAAAAGGATTGGGATGACTTAGATTGTCTTCCCCACAGACGGCGCCAAATGTTTATGCAAGGATATGCACAACAGCGTATTTCAGATTGCAGCTCGAACTCGGCCTGCGGACCGATCTGAACACTTGGGCGGACCTGCACAAAAAGGTCAGCACTCCGACGATCAAGTCAGTATAGGTCGGATTCCCAGTTTAGTTCGAGGCCAGAAATCATCGTACCTGATCGTGGAGTGAAGTCCTCTACTTATGGGTGGTAGTCCCGCTAATCTTGCGACGGTTAGACCCGGTAATCTCAGGACCGTCGGTTACACCCGGTAATCTTGGGACCGACGGTTATACCCGATAATCACGCTGCTAACAGTAGCTCACGTCGGCCCCCACCGAGCTTCCCGGTAGGTCGGACCTCGGCCAGGTTCACCTCGGCCCTCATACTTAGCATCTGTCAACGCTAATGGTGGTGATCTTGGCCTTCCGAGCTGGGCGTGACTCATGAGTCACCTCGGAGCACCAATAGGGGTCCTCCACGTGTCCAGGGTATTCTCTTCCCCAAACACAGGTCTCGTCGATCCTTTTTTCTAGAAGATTGGTGGGAAATTTGCGAAGTCCCTGGAAGCCAAATTTCTGTATCAACGACATTTTCCGTTGATATCAAGTTGAAACGGTTCTTTTTGTCGAAAAATTTTGCTTTTTAAATGAGGTGGCATAAAGAAAAATGAGTTGAGACAGAGCGTGTTACAACATCCAACTAACACTTTGGGTTGGAAGCATCTAGATAGCACATTTCCTCAATTTACTTCAGACGCACGAAATGTTCATTTGGGACTAGCTTCAGATGCAGTTTAATCCATTTTGGAGTATGAACAATTCGTACCGCATGTGGCCAATGGTACTTATTCCATACCATTTGCCTCTTTCGAAGTGCATGAAGAAATTTAATTTATTAATGTCATTATTTATTCCTGGGCCGAAGTCACCTAGAAAATAAATTGATGTTTACTTACAGGCATTAATTGAAGAGTTGAAAAAGTTATAGGGTATTGGGGTTCGTATCTACAGCAAAAAAACATATTGCAACGGGGCAACGGCGATGACTTTGGCAACGAATTTCTACCCTTTAGCGACGAATTTCGTCGTCGCCAAAGCCAAAGCCTAGGCTGGTTCAGTAGCATAATCTCTCCACCTGATCGTGGATTTCTTTCTGCATAAAGTATGGCCTAATTTTCAAGTCACCGGAGGCTTACTTCTCCTCCTTCTCCGATGATAAGTAGCTTCTCCGAAGCAATAGTTTCGAGCAGAAGAGAGCCAATTCAAGGTGAGTTTCTTTCTTACTCTCCTTTTCAAAAATCCAATAATTGATTTTGAAAATAAACGCACATAAAAGAAAAAATAAAATGTGTCCTATGTCGTCTCTTGCGTCGTGTATGGAGGTTGTCTCTTGTTTTGAGATGAGAGACACATACGAGTGGATGAATAAAATCACATTATTTCTAAAAATAGTTGGCAAAAATAATATTTTAAAAAATAGTTTTAATTTTAGTAATTAAAACAAACAAAAAAAGTCCCAACCTTTATTGGTTTAAAAGCAGAGAAGAAGAAAGAAATGAGAGAATCTGGAAATGAAATGGGAGGGTGTGAGAAGAAAGTGAAGAGGTCAAAATTAAATAACAATGAATGAATGAATAAATAGATAATAAAAATAAACCATCACCTTGAAATAATTATTTAGGGCCTCTAGGGCCTGTTTGATAATCATTTCTTCTTTTAGTTTTTAGTTTTTCTTGTTTTTAATTAAAAACAAAAATCATATATGTTTGATAACCATTTTTTGTTTTTTGTTTTTGAAAAACAAGTAACCATTTTTAGTTTTCTGTTTTTAAAAAGTTCGAAATTTAAAAATAAGAGAGAATTCTATGTAGAGTAGAGATGACAATGGTGTGGGTGCGAGTGAAGATGCTATCTTCGATTCTCGTGGCTATGAAAATTTTTAATCCCCGTCTCTACCTCGTTCTTCAGTCCGAGAGATGTTCTCGAGAAAAATTATAATTGTTTTTAATTAATTTTAGAATTTAAAAAATAAAAAAACATAATAAATATATATTAATTATTTAAAAAATGGAATCGGTACGGAGTTGGGACACGCATTTTCTATTTTTGGGACCTGACAATGCGGAAAAGAAAAATTATAGTGGAAAAAATTTAGAGATAAAAACAAGATTCAAAGTATAATTTTTAGAGAAAATAAATAAATTCAGAGATAAATAAAAGTTACGGTGAAAGAAAATGGACATTGAAAAGAAGATGGAAAAATATATTAGGAACTGAAATAAAAGCTATAAAAGACGAAATTTTAGAGAAAAAAAGTTTGAAAAAATATTAAATTAGAGGGAGAAATGAAATTGATCTGTTAGAAAAAAAAATAAATAAAAATACATACACATGAAAAATTTGGAGAGAGACAAATAATAATAAATATTCAAAGTACGAAGATTTTAGAAAGAGGAAAATAAATTCTGTATAGAGAAATTTATTTAATATAATAAGAAATAAAAATACATAGAGATGAAAAATTTAGAGATAGACAAATAATAATAAATATTCAAAGTACGAAAATTTTAGAGAGAGATATTTAAAAATTAAAAAAAATTAGAGTGAGAAAGAAATTTTTTAGAGATAAATATGAGAAATAAAAAAAAGTTGAGTATTAGGAAAAAAAATCAGATTTTGAAAAACAAAAATTTATTTTTGAAAACTATTTTTTTGTTTTTGAAATTTACATGGACAAATTGGTTTTTGAAGAATAAAAAGCAGAAAATTGAATTGGTTATCAAATACTTGAAAATGAAATAGTTACCCAACCAACCCTTACTAATTAAGAAGAGAGAGAACGTACCAAATATGTAAATCCAACTTTTATATATATATATATAGGTATAGGTATAATATTACACACTTACACGACCAAATTTAAATGAAGATGTGGAAATTTTCAAGGATAGGATATTTTTTCATGATAATAACATAAATCATGATAACATGTTTTACTTTTTTTTTTTTCTATTTCCCGACACGAGGGCTCGAACTTACATCTTAGGTATCAACATCCAAACCTTTTGCCGCTATGTCAACACCCTAAGACGTCATAATTAAAATTGAGACAACCAAAATTTGACAAATGTCTCTAAAATTAAAACATATTAATAAATTATCTAATTAAGTGCCATATGTCTATTTTTTGACCTTTTGTTTGAAAATATATATCAATTACTACTGAATTATGCTCGACATAAGTGAGTCTAATCAAATTTTGCTTGTGACATATGTTAGCTCAATTAAATTGTGTCACAAGTTGAAGAACTGATAAACTCGAACCCTCATGAAATCCGTTAAAGACTACAAATAGGGTCGACCTTCATTTTGACCATTGAGAAAGAACCGAAAGATTAGAATCCAAATAATATATACAAAACTMCCGATTTCAAGCAAAACAAGTACTAGAGAAGAACAATTACCAAATTTATATAAAGAAGAATCTGTGTTCCAAAATTTTTACACGATTGTAGAAAAGTTTTTTCAAAAAGGAGAAACAAAACAGCTAGCAAACTTTTATGTTTCTCAGAGTTGGAAATAAAAAATAAATAATAAAAAACAAAAAATATTACCAAATGGAAACTGTCCTCAGAGAGCCATTTTCCCTGTTCATCTGAAATACATACATGTTTGACGTGCTACAGATATATATACATACATATATATACATATATTCGGCGTACTAACAAACTAGACCAACAAAACCTTCAAAAAAACATACAACTACAGGAGTACTATCCTTTTGTTTATACTATAGTTTTACTTTTCTAGATAATTATTTTAATGTTGGATGACCCTATATCACTTTTAATACAATGAATATCCATACTCTCGTGGTACCATTAATTTTCCCACATAACTTAGAAAGCAACTGGCGGCATAGTATATAATAATATCAGAACTCTCCAACATGATACACTCAAAATAAGTTAAATCGTACTGCTGTGGGGATGGGAAAAAGGATCAAACGCTTAGGATAATATATACTGGTTATCAAGTCAACCAGGTGTAAGAATCTATCAATCCATCCAATCAACGGTCTCCACGTGGCAAACCCGGGTTGGCTACTCTACTACTAATCAAGGTTAGATTTTCCTAAATCCTAAATGTCAGCTTTATAGACGCTGTACATTATCTTGTTCTAAATCCTACAACCAAGACCGAGTCCAAAAGCACCTCTAATTTCACCTTTATCCCAATCTCTGATACTTCGAATGGGATGATGCCTCTAACTTACACACTGAATTCCGCAACTCCATCACCTGTTGCTCCATTTTAGCTTTCCAACTGAATAACTCCTGAAACATTTCCTGTTAACACAAGCCATATTATTATCGAGTCCAAATGTCAATCGACACGGTCTAGAGCAGTTTAGATTTAAACTACTACTGACTAGCATTTACCTGAAACATATGTACTGAAGTATCTGGTTCGGACTTCGAATTTCCAGTGGCCGAAGAATCTGAGGTTACGTTAGCCCCGTCATCTTCTTGCTTCTCCATGACATCTCTGAATATGGATCCAAATGAAGAAACAAATCAGCTCAGAGTGAGTAGTTTCAGAGCACATGTACAAGTCACCGTGCTTTTTTTTACCTCTTTGATTTGGATAATTCCTCTAGCAGCAGCTCCCGCTTTTCTTCTCTACCACCGCGATTCTGAGTTAAATTATTTCCATACTTCAACTCGAAAGACGGGGCAGGATAGAAATCTTGAACTATGACATCCTGCTGAGCACTAAAAATATTGTTGCCCTCAAACCAGGAAGCGAGTTCATCCTCCTGAAAGTTAACCAGGTTGGTGCTTTCTAACCAATCTTCCCATCTTTCAGAGGCAGGACTTGCAAGCTGTTGCTTTGATGGCTGCACACAACCCAATGAACTAGTAATCTCCATCAGCTGCACCTCAACCTTTGTTTTCCAAGTCATCAATTCCCCAGAAAGTATGCCCTAAAATGTTTGAAAAATGGGTCAAACTTGAAATATTGATTGATACTTTCCTGCTTTAATTGTGTGGATAGGAAATCAGAACTGGCATAATAAGTTACCTGCAGACCTTTCAGACAACCAGTAATTTCATTTAGGCGTTCCTCAGTGACAGCTTCCTTTTTAATCAATTCCTTATGAATGATCTGTAATTATCATGCGAAAAAATTGGTGGCCAAGAAAATAATGAAAAAAATTCATGTACGGCTATGGAGAGTACATCTTATTCACCTCCATGGAATTTAGCTGTTCTTGATCGCGAATCTTAGATGCCAGTTCCTGCATATCCCTATTTATTTGCAAGAGAAACAAAATGAGAATTTAGAAATGCCCCAGGGCAATAGATTTGTTATGCAACTCAAATTCTCTAGTTCCAATACCTCTTCATTTTGGCCATTTCAGCCCTGAGAAGCTTCAACTCGCCAGCAGATTCAGTTTCTTCAAAGTCGCCACCCTTAAGTATTGGCCGAGAATGAGGAACCCAATATGGGTCATGCACCCCAGCCTCCTGTCTAATATTTGCAAGATCAGCATTTTCGAGCCAATACTCCATTGTTCCATTAGCATTGTACCACCGCCGAAATCGCTCAGCCCCACCTGGTGCCACTTTGCCATCAATGTGCTTCAATAGATGATCAAGCAAGCCAGTATCACCAATATGCTTACGAGCTGCTGTTCGCAACACTGGACGTGGAATTGGGTTCTCAAATGTTGCTCCCTCTGCCTTCATGAGTTCCCACATACTTCGCTCAGCCAGCCTATACCTGGACAACACTCGCTTCATAACTAAAGGCACATCCAGCATAAATACGATAGAAAAGAAATAAAGATTCTACCTCTCTGCTGACCATCTTTCTATTGTACTCTCATTCTTCTTTTGCTTGCACTTCCTATAACTATTACTAAGACAAGTACTTTGCCCTTGTTTTGCAAGTAAAGATGCTTTCGCCTCCTTAAGTCTACTACGGCTAAGCCGCTTCCTCTTCTTAAATGTCGGTATCATTGGAACTTCAGTTATTAATGAGTTCTCTTCATCATTCAAGTTATCTTTCTCAGCCATGTTTGATGAATGCTGAGGCGGATTTCTCCCACGGTTCACCCGACTCTGAAAATCCCAATATTTGCCAACAGAAAATCTTTCAGGGCCTCTTAAGACTTAAGAGTTGTGCTGTATTCCAGAAGTTCTCAATATTCCTGATTCAAATACATTCGTTAGATTATTTTCAGTTCAAACAACACTGCAGATGAAAAAAGCTTCTCTACCGCCATATGATTAGATGTTACTCTTTTCTAGATAGGAAAAGAAAGCGTTAATTGTAAAAATAAATACAAGAAAGCACTCTGCTTTTTTTTTCCTTTTCTTTTTCTCACTAGAAGAAACATTTTTCAAACTCAGTTATCCTTTTCCAATCTAAAAGTTTAGAGTTTATTTCTAAAAACCAATCGAACAGCAACTTGCTAAGTAATTCAAATGTTTTAATATTGAAGCTTGGCCCCTGAAAAGTATAATGAGCTTCTAGCCGAGTGATAATTTATTCTACAATACTAATATGGAAAACAACAGTCTCAAAATATACAAATGAAACACCAATATACAAAAATCTGAGAGTCAAAAGATGTTAAAGCCTGTAGTTTAAATCAAGTCAGTACATCAACAAGCATCAGAAACGAACATAAAATATAAGCCAAAATCGAATCATAATAAGTTCAGCTATACGCATATGAGCCACACACAATTAACATACTGTATACAGAAGTCAAAACAAACTATTAAAAGACATCTGAATCTCAAACAGCTCAGCCATTCTGATATGCGGAATGTGAAGCTTGGAAACAGTGTTTGGTAATTGGTATTCACAAATGAGATTCGTGAAATATGATTTAGACTTATTTATTTATTATTTTACATCATACAGAATAAAAGAGATTGAATTATATAAATACCTCCAAAATCTTTCCATGAGAAACAAGACAAAGAAAAGGGTGTCAAGAAAAACTCATCAACTGCATAACTTTCAAATCAACAAAGTACAAGAATGCGAAATTTCCCACAACACAGAGTAAGTCTATGTGAATCCTCTACTATTTTAATCTTCTTCAAAAGTAACAGAGAATAAAAAATAAGTCCACCATCTTATCAAACGGACAAAAGGGTAACTAATCTAAACCACTTCTACTCTATTTCCTCAACTTTCCCAGTAAGAAAACACATCAAACATTCTCAACACAGAAAAGACAACTCATACATATAGCAAAAAGTAAGAAAGAAAGCCACTCAGTCCAGCTCTTAGCATGGTAGAAGAACAAAGTGTGTAAACATGAGATTAAAAAATAAAATAAAAGCAAAAACAAGGCTAGAACACAGGGTTCCAGAAGAATTACAGTAAAAAAACCCGTCAGAATCGAAGGCATTGTAGAATCTGAAGAACAGAAACGTGGGTATGGTAGCTGGGAGGATTCAGGAGATTAAGAAGCAGAGGAAGCAGCAATGGACTGGAGACTGGAGAAGAAGAAGAAAAAACCGAAGCAGCGGAGCGGGGGGAAATAGTGAGAGAAAAAGCAAGTGGGCGTGGGCGTCACGGTACGCTACTACGGGATTGATTAATTTCACCGCAGAAAAAGGAAATACAAAAATTCTGAATTTCCTAAACCCTAACCGCCAAAAACCTTCGAGAATTCTTGTCTTTTTATTTTTTTCATTTGTTTTACAAGTTGGTCAATTTTTACCCTAATCTTTTCGTTTCACCAAATTAGACCTTAAATAAGTGTCAGTAAGTTTTACTCTCTATTTTATTTTTACTAACTTGCCCACTCATTTTAGCAATGAGTAAATATCAAATCTCCAAACATATATTTTTTTGTATAATATATRAGGGTAGGAATTTGAATGTATTACTACTTAGTTGGAGATACATACCTTAACCAATTGAGTTAGCAATCTCAAAAATATATTAGTTTCGACAAAATCAAACTTTTCGCAAAATTAAGTTTGATCCATTCACTAGAGGTGTTCGCAGGTTGGGTTGGGGGTTTTTTGGACGAACCCAAATTTTCGGGTTAGGCATATTAGAGAACCGACAAAACCGAGGAAGATGGTCAACCCAACCCTTACATTTTCGGGTCGAATCAGGTTGGGTCATCGGGTTGAGACGAAAACTTCCATCACGCTGAGCAAACCACGAAAACAAACGTGCCAGGCAAAAACGAACAAACATGGCGAAAAAATCCAACCCACTCTGAAACTTTCGTCACGTAGCAGCGGCCATTCGAGGAGGATGGAAAAAGGAGGGGGAGAGTAGAGATAAGAGACGGGGGATGTAACGCCCCAGGAATTTCACCATTTCCAAACAGGGACCGTTACTAAGACTACCTAAAATTTTCACATAAACAAGAGAAGTACCTTCACAATAATACTAAGCAATAAAGCTACCACGTTTCCGCTGCGCTACTCTATTTTTAACACTCACGAGAGCTTGAACAATTAGAACAACAACACTAAAGATTTAAGAGAAACTCGCCTCCTATACAGATAAACCATTTAATGCCGACTTCACATTAACCAAACCCGTCCAGAAAACCTTTCCTAACTATAAACCATTCACTAAACGAATATTAACATCTCGAATGGCAATGAAACAAAAACTAATTCAAGTACAATCAACTTAAACAAATGTATTCATAAATATCCTAGGTAGGTTACAATCCCGTAGTTCATGAAGACAACAAAATTAATGCTCTAAAAAGAATAATGAATCGGCAACCTTACAACATCATTTAGACAATAAACTAAACAAAACCAACCACTAACAACTCAACTACAAGATTACGTAGCCACAACTATCCTAACTAAAAGAAATTAGTTGCACACGGCATAGCTAATGGTCTTTCCGATCAAGCCTCCTCCTCGCCATCACCATCCCACGAGCTAGCTCGATACCTGCAAACTGGAGGGGAAAAGAGGGATGAGTACAACCACAGTACTCAGTAAGCAGCCCTTATCTGAAGGGTCACGCACTAACAGCATACTTATCAAGGAACAACGTGTCATGCTTATTAAAGAATCAACACACACACATCATGCTCAACCAAATCATGAAACATTCATTGTCATGCTTTTCAACACATTATGCATTCAAACATAGACACATTCTATAAAATTCGGTGACAACCACAACCAGGAACACATTAACTACCAGTACTAACCTCTAGTCTCCCTAACATTCAAGTACCTCTACGCTTATCATAGCTGCTCTAGCCTTCCACAGTTAACTCCTTCGAGTAGAGTCGACCCCTGACCATTTATACCCAGAGCCCCGACCCTGCAGCATCGGCCGTCGACCATTTATACCCGAGGCCTTGAACTCTGCATCGACCCTCGACCATTTATACCCGAGGCCTTGAACTCTGCATCGACCCTCGACCATTTATACCCGAGGCCCCGATG